AACCAACAACTGTTCTGGTACATGTTTTACACAGCGGATGCCCTTCCAGCCGCAATCAAGTACTGGGAAATCCATACCCATAGCCCATACAATCATTCACACACACTCATACACTACAGCCAAGTTAGTTTATTCAGTTCACCTGTAGCGCATGTCTTTGGATTTTGGGGGAAACTGGAGTACCTGGAGGAAACCCACGCTAACACGGGGAGAACATGCAAACTCAGAAATGCCTCAAACCAGCAACCTTCTTGCTGTAAGGTGACAGTGCTAACCTCTGAGCCACTGTGAGATTTTATCAAAATGGAATCTCAAACGCAGAATAAGCAAAGCTGCAACTGTCATGCACACCTTGTCAGAAAAGCACGGCTCTGTGATCAGTAGTAAATGTTCTCCGAAGGCAATATTGCGCTCTTCATGAGGAAATTTCAAGCCTTCACGAAGAAACTTAGCAATTGGTCATAATGTTGCATTATAAACGAGGTTAAACTGCTTTCATTGACTCAGCATGACTAATAATCACATGACTATGGAATCATCTCACAAAAAGATATATTTGTAGCATTTGAACGTGTGTAACACTCGTCTGAAGTTCGGAAGTAAGTTTGGAGTGGAAACATATTATGTGGTAATTTCACATGCAGCTTTTACTACACAGAGCTGTGGTTCACACAATTGACAAGTGATGCTGTCATACATGATGTGATGCTGATTTTTGCGTAGCTTCTCAGTGTATGACTATAGCTGTATCTCATTTTAGAGGCTGCATCCTTCAAAGGATGCATTTGAAGTGTGCTGCGTCATCGTGCAAGTGAATTAATTTGAAAAAAATTTGAAGTCTCCTTCAAATGCAGCTTCACAATGCGTCCTTCGTTTCCTAGGCAATGAAGGACACAACCTTTCGGCCTCGAACGTCCCAAGTCTTGATTAAATGTATGAATTAGGTTTATTTTACCTGGGTATCTAAACACATGTTAAAAAAAAACAACAAAAAGAGAATGACATATCTTACTAAAAGGTGATTTTATAGACAGTTTACATGTTTCTGTGTACATGTATGGATGAAAGGAAATATATTCCCATCTTTTGTAAAGCTTGTTTTACCTTCAGATCACTTAAAGTAAGTTTTTAAATCACTTTGTTAAAACATTACTGCTTATTAACAGCAGCTGTTACGGTTGGTAGGTGACGAGATCTATCTTTTGTAGGTTAGATCGTCTCATTTGAAAATGCTCGCTTCGGCTTGTCTGGACCTTGAAGGACTTACCTGTGAAGTTTGCATCCTTCTGAAATGAGACACAGCTTCTGTCTAGTAAATGCTGCTCCATCAGAAAGCACATGCTGGAGGTTTACTAGAACTGTCGTTACTGATATAAATACATGACATTCGCCTAAACCTAATGGCAGCTGTTTTTTGTTTTTGGTAACTTTTGAAAACCGTATTCAAAGTGTACATTTTTGAAAGTGATACCATTATCTGAGCTTGAACTACAGGAATTCATTTATTAAAAGTTGTGACATCATGTGCATGCATAATACTTGTTGAGTCTATAGGTAAGTGTATTCTACAACCAAAAGAACAATTTAGGACTATATGACCAAATGCATGAAGATGCATAAAATGATTTTAAAAGTAAAATACTGCAGTAAATTCTACTTTGTAATTGCAGGAAAAAATGTACTAAAATTTTACTGCAAATTTAAAGTCATTTTAAACAGTAACATTTATACTAAATTACTGTTTTATTTATTATAAAATAAAAGTTATGTGCGACATGGTGGCTCAGTAGTTAACAAGAAGGTCGCTGATTCACATGCTTGCCCATTACCTGGACCAAGCTTAATTTAGTATATCATTTTTTGTGATTATGGAAATTATGGGCGACACAGTGGCTCAGTGGTTAGCACTGTCGCCTCACAGCAAGAAGGTCGCTGGTTCGATTCCTGGCTGGGCCTTTTGGCATTTCTGTGTGCATGTTCTCCCCGTGTTTGTGTGGGTTTCATCCGGGTGCTCCGGTTTTTCTCTCAGTCCAAAGACAAGATATGTCTGTCTGGAAGGGCATCCGCCACATAAAATATATGCCAGAGTAATTGGTGGTTCAATCTACTGTGGCGACCCCTGAAAAATCAGGGACTAAGCCAGTGGATAGTGAATTTGGGCATACAGTAATAGGGCTTTGTTCAAAAACTGAACTTTGCACAATTTTGAATGGGGGTGTTAACTTAAAACAATGTAGACAACAAAAAATTGATCTCTGGATAAACTAGTCGTTGCCAATATATTCAGATGGTCTGAACGGTATGGTGATTTTCTGTTGGTGTGTTTGAGGCTCAGATTAACTTTAATCCTGAGTTCTTGTAAACAAAGACAAAAAAAAAAGATCTGACTCATGTTTCATAATCAGACTATCCAGATTGTCCTGCAAGAGTCCTTGGCGAGTGTCAGTATGTTTCCTTATTCAGCAGGATGAATAAACATGAAACTGTTCAATAGGTTATGGATGATAAAATAAAACCAAAATTCTTCTGAGGGTCTAAAAATATTAGAAGTGACCATGAAACTTTTAGTACAGGACAGGATCTTCCTGTAAAAGCAAACACATCACTATATCTATTTTAGAAACGATCACACATAACCCTCAAGAGAAAAACCTCTCTCGCACATCATTAAGCATACATAAAACATTACTTTTTGCAAATGTTGACCGACCTTTTAAAATCTGCATGGCATGCTGTGGAAGATTATTTCTCTCTCTCTCCAAAAATTCCCAGCCCTTCTTGTGAAGGTGATTAAATATTGTCAGCTTGGCAATGATTGAAAAAAATGATATCACAAACTACAAAATCAGGCCATTCTGACAGGGCCTAATAATATTGAATTATGGAGATATTTCGACATATTACTTTGAGTGAAATAATGTGTTAGTGTGTCTTCTGCATGTGTGCTTGATGGCAGGCAGAGGGACCCTGAGGGAGACTGAGAGTCCACAGCTCCACACACACACACACACACACACACACACACATTGTGATAAATTGCTCTCACTCCAGTGAGTGTTGTTCACTGGTCAGAGTTTAGAAGAAAAGCTTCTCAAACCCAAAGCACTCTGATAGTCCCACAGTACAGTTATGGTTTCAAATGGTAATATTACCACATGTCATGTGGACAAAATGAGAAATAATTTCTCTAAAACATTAATTCCTCTTATTATTATTATTTTTATTATATAAACTTACCGGCCACTTTATTAGGTACACTTTACTAGTACTGGGTTGGACCCCTTTTTGCCTTCAGAACTGCCTTCATCCTTCGTGGCATAGATTCAACAAGGTACTGAAAATATTCCTCAGAGATTTTGGTCCATATTGACATGATAGCATCACGCAGTTGCTGCAGATTTGTCGGCTGCACATCCATGATGCAAATCTACCGTTCCACCACATCCCAAAGGTGCTCTATTGGATTGAGATCTGGTGATTGTGGAGGCCATTTGAGTACAGTGAACTCAATGTCATGTTCAAGAAACCAGTCTGAGATCATTCATGCTTTATGACATGGTGTGTTATCCTGCTGGAAGTAGCCACCAGAAGATGGGTACACTGTGGTCATAAAGGGATGGACATGGTCAGCAACAATAGTCGGGTAGCCTGTGGAGTTTACACGAAGCTCATTTGGTACTAATGGGCCCAAAGTATGGCAAGAAAATATCCCCCACACCATTACACAACCATCACCAGCCTGAACCATTGAGGATGGCTCCTTGGTTGCATGTTATTGAGATGAAGCAGAAATCGAGACTCATCAGACCAGGTAACGTTTTTCCAATCTTCTATTGTCCAATTTTGGTGAGCCTGTGCAAAATGTAGCTTTAGTTTCCTGTTCTTAGCTGACAGGTGTGGCGCCCGGTATGGTCTTCTGCTGCTGTAGCCCATCTGCCTCAAGGTTGGACGTGCTGCGCATTTTGCATACCTCAGTAGTAACAAGTGGTTATTTAAGTTACTGGTACCTTTCTATCAGCTAGAATCAGTCTGGCCATTCTCCTCTGACCTCTGGCAAGGCTGGATATTTTCTCTTTTTCAGACCATTCTCTTTAAACCCTAGTGATAGTTGTGCGTGAAAATCTTAGTAGATCAGCAGTTTCTGAAATACTCAGACCAGCCCGTCTGGCACCAACAACCATGCCACGTTCAAAGTCACTTAAATCACCTTTCTTCCCCATTGTCATGCTCAGTTTGAACTGTAGTAGATCATCTTGACCATATCTACATCCTTAAATGCATTGAGTTGCTGCCATGCGATTGGCTAATGAGAAATGAGCGTGTAACGAGCAATTGGACAGGTGTACCTAATAAAGTGGCCAGAGAGTGTACAGTATATAGTTGAAGGCAAATGATAAGTTTTTGTTTTTTTTCTAGAGTAAGTCATTTCTTTTAGTTAGGCTGGAATAAAGTTTTCCTTTAATTTTCCAAATAATTTTAGACTCAGTATTATTAGCCTCCCTAAGAAATGATTATTTTTATCAACATAATTATTTGTATACTGTATCTACAGAACAAGCCACTGACTTGCCTAATTAACTTGCCTAGTTATCCTCATTAACCTAGTTAGACCTCAAAATGCACATTAAGCTGGATATTAATAAAATATGCAAACTCAATTTTTATATAAATATAATTTAATGTCGTCATTGCAAAGATAACAGAAATTAGTTTTTGAAACCTATTAAAATGTGTGGAAAAATATCTTTATTTAACAGCACTTGAAATATATTTTTAAATATATTAACATTTCACAGACAGGCTAATGATTTTGCCTTTAAACGTGTATGTATATATCTCTAATTGGGTTTTGTGGTTCTTCTATGCAGTTCTGTAAATTATAATTTTCTAGTTTATCTATCAACCACCAAACTATACTACAAGACTTGTCAGAATATCTACACAACACATCATCTCTAAGACTAACCACACTACTCTACTGACTTTCAAGCATCTCTAACCTGTAATGGTGTCTAGAGATGCTGATGGATCTGGAGTCTGGGGGACTGAGATTGGCTGGACTGAACCTTTGGTTGTTGAATCTGATGTCAGCTGGACTATGAATGGTGATATTGATGTAGTTATCAGCACTGGTGCAGTGGCTGGATCAAGTGTAACCGCTAGTGTTGGCACTGAGGATGAAGAACAATATTACAGCCAGTTGAGAACGAATGTAAATACACAGTAAAGCTCTTTTTCTTTTGCCTTTAATGCTTAATGGTTAACTCGGGTGACACTTTAAAATAATGGTCCATTCATGGTAGTTAATGTATTTTCTAACATCAACAAACTATTAGTAATACATTTGTTATGGTGTTTATTCATCTTTGCAAGTTAATGTTATTTAAGTTAAATAACGTTAGTTCAATTTAACTCATGATGCATTAACTAATGTTAACAAGCACAACTTAAAATTTGAATAATGCATAAGTAAACGTTTCAAAGATTATCGATACTTAGTTAATGTTAGTAAATACATTAACTAATCGACCATTATTCTAAAGTGTTACCTTAACTTACTGATAGAACTTGAAAAAGAAAGTAAAAACTGTGCTGAAGTCAGAAAATTATTACTTCTACTTTTGTTTTTAAATAAATATATTAATAATTTATATTGACATTAAGCTGTTTTTTTTATTATTTAAAAATAGGTGTAAAGTGATTTTTTTTTTTAAATAGCTGTATTGCCAGTTGACTTGTCCCAGAATTCCCCATTTATAAATTGCATGGGATTGTGTTCTTATACATTTAGGATCTCTGTCATTTTCACATATAAAAAAATACTAAAAAAAGACTGAACATGGTCAAAAATTCACAAAGTTCCTTCATGTTGTCAAGACACATAAATCGATTGAGTTAACGTAATTGTTTTTACTAATTTAAGTGCATTGAACAATAAATAAATTAACAGTTTTATAGTTTTAACTCAATTTAAAGTAAATTTTGTACGGGTATAAAATGCAAAAATCACCCAGAATGCAACAAGAACACCAATGTAGCAAATATCTGGTTCATAAGAATATATTATTAGCCTATTATTAATAAAAACGTGGTAAAATAAGATCACTTAAGACCAGGAGCTCTCATCCTTTTTCACTTCGCAGCCCACTTCTTTCGCCGATCAATTTTTGAAGGCCCACCTGTCTTTCGGTCACCTGTCCTTCTCTAAAATGTTTATACGCTCATTTAAACATTTATTTATTAACAAATATACATATATTATACACTTGTTGTGCCTTCCATTATTTTCTATTATCAGCATTTTATAAAAAAATATATATAATTTTATTTTAATTTAATTACATATAAAACAAACTATGTATTATAATATTTTAAAATGTTGTATATTAAAAAAAAAAAAATATATATATATATATATATATATATATATATATATATATATATATATATATATATATATATATATATATATATATATATATATATATATATATATATATATATATATATATATATATATATATATATATATACACACACACACACACACACACACACACACACACACACACACACACACACAATTTTATATTTCTTTTTTCACTAAACATACTGAGTATCTGATATACTGAGTATCTACTGTCAAATATGTACTATTCAAAAATATACAGACAAATGTAGATAACAGTAAAACACCCCAAATCTGTTGAAATACGTCAATCTGAGGGCGGTTGAGTTTGCACCAAAATATTATTGCTAGATCACTGACAAGAACACTGAACATCTCCACCAGAGCCCGTCTGAAGCTCATATGCAGGTTTATTTTACACACTAGATCCTCCTGAATGAATGCGCGTCCGTTATAAAACACTGACAGGACATTAATTTGGACAACTATGCAGATATATTAAATCGTTAAAACACAAAGACAGACTTTCACTTCAGTTTGTGAATGAACAGACTTACATGTACTAGCTGCAGACACGATCACGAGGCTGATTTTGCAGTAATAAATCAGAGAACAGGAGAAAGTGCATTACTTTGATCATTTTTATATGTCATATTAATAAAGAAATCTAAACATTATAGAATAATATCGAGAGTTAATTTTAATCTCATGGCCCACCTGCAGGATCGCTGAGGCCCACTGGTTGAGAGTCTCTAACTTACAGAGTGAGTAGTACAGAGTAGACAGTGAGTAGTGAGTAGTGACAGTGAGTAGTGAGTAGACAGAGTGAGTAGTATTTGGTCAAGTTAAACAGCTAAGATGATCATGAATCACATATGAGCAACTCCAGCATTATTGTTGTGACATTTGCATTTATTTTGAAACATCTGTTTATCAGAAAAAGATCTATCAGTATGCATTTTTATATATTAAGTGAGAGAAATAAATATGTGTTATGGATGTGACCCAAAAAGTTTACAGCATACAACATACTAAGCCTGAAGAAATGATGCTAATCAAAAAGATAAGACTTGGCTCTCTATAGAACAATGATTTGTTTTATTTTATTTGACATTTATAAGGGAAAAGGCTTGGTTATGGATGTGACATCTCTCTGTTATGGACATCACAGATGTGAAATTGCCACTTTTGTGACTTTGGTAAGTTAAATATAATTGACAGAAACATTGAGTATTTTTAGAGGACTGTATAATACAAGCCTACACAAAAAAAAAAAAACAAAAAAAAAAACTTGAAAGGAGTTTTGCTATTTTGGTGAATTCTTTTTTACTGCAAGATTGACATTTGCATGGAATTGCTCATATGATATTTTGCCCCATCAAAATCACAATTTAGATTCAAAACTAATATCTGCCTCGCTAAAAACCTAAAGGCCTCACCTTCAAGCCGAAAAACAAAACACAGCATACACCTTTAAGAAAAAGACTCCCCTATATTCCTCAAGAGATCCATCATCACCTCAGATTTCCAACAAAACAGCATTAGACCACCACAAGCGTCCAGAACTGAGCCCGAATCTCCCTTAACCTTCAGCGCACCCTCATACATCACTAGCCAGCATTAAAACGCTTTGCGCTTTACATCACATGAAACATTAATGAAGCAGAAAACTGTGGAAAAAAACATGCATCACGCCATCAGGAGTTCACAGTGACAGTTAAGGGACAGATCAGAACCGACGTCTTGTTAACGGCATGAAATAAAGAGGCCAGAAAGAGTGATGGCAGCCAGAGCGAAAACATGAAAAACCGCAGTCAGCGAATTCCATTAGCATGCCACTTACTGCCAGACGTTCCCGACGCCTCACCTGCAAACAGAAAAAGAGAAGGAGATGAAACAAAAAATGAGAGGCTTTTACTCGTTTATTTTCTGACAACAACAAAAAAAATCTCATGGGTGTGTTTTATTTATTCCTCAACTACTTTGGAGCACATCTAAAAGTCAAAAGACAAAGAAACCCGCCTCGCTTTCGCAGGCAGTGAACGTATACAGTTGTGATGAACTGTAAATTCCTTCTACTCAATATGCCTGTCTTTTATTGCAAAGTTTATTTGAAAGCTTTGTGCTATTCTACTTTCTTCAGCGAGTGCCCCAGTTTTCTACACAGTGCGTAAATCATAAGTGTGTGTGTGTGTGTGTGTGTGTGTGTGTGTGTCTGACTTCAGCAGGTGCCTCATTCGTACAAATGTTCGGGGAGCCGTTCGGGGTGGGCAGGTACGAGCCGGGCTTCCAGGACTTGGCTTTAAATCCTCTTTCGCAGACCAAACAGTCTTGTCCCGTGGTGTTGTGCTCGCAGTCGCACTGAAGCGTCCCATCACGGAGGGAGCACTGGCCGGCGTGGAGGTTACACTTACACCTGTGTGAAAAAAACAAAACAAGAACGATGGGCAATTAGCACACTTGTTATATCTGAGCCACAGGCAAGGGCAAAAGCTGCACCACCAAGAACGATTCCTTTTATTTGGTTGGGTCACCCGAGGAAGCTCATTAGCTCACCTACTTGGCTCAAGAAATCCGCTAGGCTAATTAGCGGAGTCAGAAAACGTAGCACAGGGCTAAAAGCAGTACCTGTGGGGAATATTGGAGATTGGAAGATCTTTGCATTGGGGTTGATGTGTATATACTGTATAAAGGTGGCAGGGATCATTCTGGTGTTTCTTATGGGCAAAATGGTGGCTGGTGTGGAGAACATTTGAGATATAAAGAGGGATTTGAGTGCTGGAGGTCAGCAGGTTTTGACTTCTTTGCATAAGCTGTTATTGGAGATTTTACTTACAGCCTAATCACAATGCTGAACTTGTGAACTGCAATAAATCATACATCCTATTTTATTAAAATTGTATTGGCTCAAGATAAATGCGCTTGAACTCTGTGTTAGATATTTGGACCAAGAATATATCTTTAATATGAATTTTTTAAAATCTAAGTTACAGAATCAAACTTGCAAATTTGATGACAAAATAGGGAAAATAGTGTATCAGAATATTTAATATGTTTAATTAGTACTAAATATAAAAGAAAACACATAAAAGAAAGAAACAAATTATTTAAGGGTAAATAACTGAAATTACTAACACTAAAATAATAATTAATTATTCATTCATTTTCCATCAGGTTAGTCCCTTATTTATCTGGGGTTGCCACAGTAGAATGAACCGCCAACTATTCCAGCATATGTTTTATACAGCAGATGCTCTTCCAGCTCCAACCCATTACTGGAAAACACCCAAACACACTCTCATTTACACACACTTTTACATTATGACCATTTTAGTTTATTCAATTTACCTATAGCGCATGTCTTTGGACTCTAGTGGAAACCAGAGCACCCGGAGGAAACCCACGCCAACACCAACAACTTTCTTGCAGTGAAGTGACAGTGCTAACCACTGGGCCACCCCGCCACTAATAATCAATTAAATATACATGTTACGAAAAAAACAAATACAATGGGAAAGCACATAATATAATTAGTAGTACTTAAAATAAAATAATGATAAATTTAGAAATGAAAGCTTATTCAACTTGTTGGTATTTGAATACAAATAAATAATTGACGGTACATTTTTATCTTGTACATTTTTATCTTTATCTTTTTTTATAATAGTAATTTTAACAATCTAAAATCAAGGCAATATATTTGCTAAATCTTACAATAAAATACAAAAAAATTCAGTATATTTCAATATTATAGACATACTAAAATTTCTCTTGTTCTGTGGTTGAACTTGTGCATAGCAGTACATTTTTATTCATTCATTCATTCATTTTTCTTCGGCTTAGTCCCTTTATTCATCAGAGGTCGCCACAGAGGAATGAACCGCCACCTTTCCAGCATATTTTTTACACAGCGGATGTCCTTCCAGCTGCAACCCAGCACTGGTAAACACCCATACACTTACATTCACACACATTCCCAATTTACATTGGGTGTCAGCATCAATGCTTCCCATTAACTTTGAAATTTAGTTAATCCAATTTACCTAAAGTGCATGTCTTTGGACTGTCGGGGAAAACGGAGCACCCGGTGGACAACCACGCCGACATGGGGAGAACATGGAAACTTCACACAGAAATGTCAAATGACCCAGCAGAGTACTCAAACCAGTGACGTTCTTGCTGTGAGGCGACCAGCCACCAACATTTTTATTGTATTATTTCTTATTTTGACGTTGACATCTATTATTATTTTTTTTTTATGTATTTACTTTTTTATCTTAACAAGATGCAGGTAGGCGGCATGGTGGCTCAGTGGTTAGCACTGTCATCTCATGGCAAGAAGGTCACTGGTTCGAGTTCCGGCTGGGCCAGTTAGCGTTTCTGTGTGGAATTTGCATGTTCTCCTCGTGTTCACTCTGGTTTCCCCAACAGTCCAAAGACATGCGCTATAGGTGAATTGAATAAAGTAAATTGCCCATAGTGTATGTGTGTAAATGAGTGTGTATGGATGTTTCCCAGTACTGGGTTGCAGCTAGAAGGGCATCCGCTGTGTAAAACACGTAATGTAATGTGTATTTATATAGAGAGCATTTATTGTGTATGGCCATACACCCAAAGCACTTCAGAGTCATGAGGGGGGGGTCTCTCCACACCACCACCAGTGTGCAGCATCCATTTGGATGATGCGACGGCAGCCACAGGACAACGGGGCCAGTGCGCTCACCACACACCAACTGTAGGGGAAGTGGAGAAAGAGTGATAGAGCCAATTCAATGGATGGGGATGATTGGGAGGCCATGATCGTAAGGGCTGATTGAGGGACTTTGGCCAGGACACCGAGGTTACATCCCTATTCTTTACGAGAAGGGCCATGGGATTTTTAATGACCACAGAGTCGGGACCTTGGTTTCTCATCCAAAAGACGGCGCCCGCTGACAGTGTAGTGTCCCTTTCACTTTTACCGGGGCATTAGGACTCACACAGACCACAGATTGAGCACCCCCTGCTAGCCTCACTAACACCACTTCCAAAAGCAACCTAGTTTTGCCATGTGGTCTCCCATCCAGGTACTGACCAGGCTCAGCCCTGCTTAGCTTCAGTGAATAACTGGTCTTGGGCTGCAGGGTGATATAAAAACATATGCTGGATAAGTTGCCGGTTCATTTCACTGTGGTGACCCCTGATGAAGAAAGGGACTAAGCTGACGGAAATCGAATGAATTCACTCAATTTAACCTCTTTATATCTTCTTATGAGCCATAATCATTAATACATAAATCAATAATTGTAACTTCAACCTTATATACAGAACTACAGATTAGTGTGATCTTTTCAGACTTTTCTAGATGCTTCTAATCTTGATCATTATTAAACTCTCCCCATGATGACCCCTTGATGTCTGTAAGCACTACAGAGGCTGTGTTGGGTGTGCGTTTCTTGTAGATGCGGGTGAGTTTGATTCTCTTCGTCTGTGATGTTGGAGATAAAAACTCTGGGATCTGCGGGGACAGTAAACAGCATCCGTCTGCTCTCCTCCAAATATAGCGGCGTCTACAGGGGGAAGGGAATACCTCCAGAAAGCCAGAGAAAGTGAGTAATGATTATCAACCGTAATGAGAATAAATGGGGGATATTGAGATGGCCTCGGCTTGTCTCTTCTCATCGGTGGCTTTATAAGAAATATCTGCCGCGCTCCACAAAATGTCGCTTCGCTGCTTTTGAGCTTATGAGGAATGTTTAAGGGTAGTTGAGATTAAAGGTCTGGGGAGGAAAGCGGGTTAGTATGGAAATGATGACTTTTGCAATTACGATCTCTCTAATCAAATGAGTGTGTAAATCCCAATGCATCTGATTTTTTTCTCCATCCTCACTAGAGCGAACAGCTATCCATTTGCATGAAATATTTATGAAGATGACCTATATATTTCCATGCGGACACCCCATAGCCGAGCTGTGTATTGCTGTATAATGAGGTCACACCTCGCCCTATCAAGATACCCAGGCAAAAAATAAATAAATTTAAAAAGTGATGGCATGCCAATATATAAAACTTTGGGGTAAGAAAGTAGTGCCTCCCTCCAAGTGCCTTGAATGGATTATATTCCTTGTTTTATTTCAATAATTTTTTTGCCTTTCGAATGAAAAGAAATTGAATCCATTAAAAAATTATCTACATATCAGATAGAAAATTCTTTACCAAATGAAGGATATAAAAGGTTAGTGGAGTAATGATGGGGTGTATTTTTTATTAGATTTTTTTTTTTATTAATTTATTACGGTTTATGTTATTTATTTTTTATTGTAATAATATTGCACTTCTATTCCGCTTAAAGTGACATTGTATAATATAAGTTATTGTATAATGATGGTTTGTTCTGTAGACTATCGAAATAAATATATAGCTTTAAGGGGCTAATAATTTTGACCCTAAAATGTTTTTTTTTTTAATGTAAAACTATTCTAGCCGAAATAAAACAAATAAGACATGAAGGAAAAATATTATCAGACATACTGTGAAAATTTCTTTTCTCTGTTCAACATTTTGAAAATTTTAAAAAAGTAAAAAAGTCAAAGGGGTGGCTAATAATTCTGAATTCAACTGTATATATATATATATATATATATATATATATATATATATATATATATATATATATATATTTTTTTTTTTTTTTTTTTTTTTTTTGATAGTCAACAGAACAAACCACTGTTATACAATAACTTGTCTAATTACCCTAACCTGCCTAGTTAACCTAATTAACTTGGTTAAGCCTTTATAAGTCACTTTAAGCTTTGTAGAAGTGTCTTGAAAAATATCTAGTCAAATATTATTTACTGTCATCATGGCAAAGATAAAATAAAATTTGTTATTAAAATTATTATTTTTAGAAATGTGTTTAAAAAAAATCTTCTCTCCGTTAAACAGAAATTAGGGAAAAAAATAAACAGGGGGGGGGGGCTAAAAATTCTCAAAGCCAGTGTCATGAATATATAGGGTAGAAATAAAGATGAAGGTTTACAAACTTAAAATGCAAAATTCCCAAGAGTCTTAATATAGGTCCCCATGTGGTTAAAGCTTTTTTATTGAAGTTAATCACTTTTTGATATTAAAAATATGTTAATAAAGTAATAAACCATAAAAAAAAGATTACATATAAGGATCTTTAAAAATTATATATGTTTTTTTTCTTACTTGGTATTAAAAAATTAATAAAATAAATTTCACGTTTAAAGTTAGCAAATACTTTTCAAAATATACCAGATTTGTGGAGTGATGATTTGTATTTTTTGTTTGTTTGTTTTTTTACTAATAAATCATGTTTATATTTTTCTATAATTCTAGAAAAGTTGACTCAACTTAAAATTTTAAGGCAACCAGCTTAAGGACATCTTTTGTTTACTTAACTTAAGTCAGGTG